TGTCCAGCTCTGTTTTGAGACTAAGGGGCAGTATTACATCTCCAGTTATGTCTTTTGTTGTTACCCATCATAAATCAAATCCTATTTCACAGAATTGTACGGGTTGGCAGGGACCTCCAGAGATCATCAGGTCCAACCCCTCTGCCAAAGCAGGTTCCCTACACATTTCCTTTTTTCCGTAATGGTATTCTCATTGTCTTGAATGGGAGATATATTTACTCATCTCAAATACATGAGAAGTCTGTACTTTCATCATGCTACTTGATTTTCACTCATTTTTTTAATGAGATGATATTATAATGCTTGTTGAGATTAATGCCTGTTATAAACACTGCTGACCTATTGGAAAATTTTGATGTGTCACTGATCAGATTGATTTCACAGAACTCTTAAAAACTGTGGCAGAAGGGTGGCAGTGTATGTGACAATACATCATATAAACTACAACAAAACACTTTAATTAAAATAGACTAATGTATCCTATGAAGGATAAAATGCTACACACAGAAAAGTAGTAATAAATATAAATGGCTTACTGTGCTTCTGCCTTCATTTTGGAAAGGCTGAGAGGGATGCCACTCTTTCAGCTGCTCTGTTAGAGAGATGCTGAGCAAGGAACTATTGATCCTAACAGCATAGTGAATTTAAGATGAGATCTGTCAGTATTAGCAGGAGTAAGGCTTGATGCTCTTCTCTACCCCAGTAAGCATCATCTCAAGATATTAAAAAAAAACACTCAGGTAAACTTAGATTTCAACATGTGAAAATCCAGGCTCCACGGGATACAGGCTTTTTGAATTCCTCCTTGTAAATGACTTATTCCAAGTAATTTTGAATTCGTATTTTTTCTTCCATGTTGCTTCAAAACATGTTGTAGTAAGCAATCAAACTTACAATGGCAAATTTCTTCATTAAGCTTCAGCCACAATTGTTCAACCATGGGCAAGTTGGACTAGATTATCTTAAAGGTCTTTTCCAACCTTAATGATTCTATGACTCTAAATTATTTAGAATACATGTGCTATATCTATATACGTGTTATACATGTGTTATATCTATTACTTCTGGAGCTATTAAGATGCTCTTTGGGAACTTGAGGGAAGGGGAGCTTACCTTCTGAAAATGTAAGGAAGAATTGCAGTAAATGTTGCAATTCTCTGCCATAGGAAGAGGCTTTGAAAGGCTATTCTGTGTCCCAAGTATGGAGCTGTGACACAGCTACTGGCTGATAGACATTTGCCCAACCTTTTGCTGATATTTCTATTGGAAAAGGCTTGGTTGGCAGCCTGGTCCACTTAATACATAGCTATGTAGAGTGCTGCATCTAAATTGCATTAGTCCTTTCCCATTCATAACATATGGGGAGCAATGGATATCCTACCTACTGAAACATCTTGATTGCATTCCTTTCTAGCTATTGCTCTGTAGACCATCAGATCAAATTCTTCAATGCTCTTTCATGACTAGTGCCACTTCATTCAAAGCTGCTTATCAGTTCTTGTTCCTGCCTCTACCCTCTTTCCTACTTAATACAGAGCAGACTCCAGCTGAGGTCTCACTGACATCGAGAGAAGAGTAATAACCAGATCCCACTTTTTGCAGTGTGTGTGTTACTATTCCTTAAGAGCAAAGTAGGATTTGTCTTTTTTTTTGGTTTATTTTTTGTTGTTTTTAGCATGATCTGCATTGACTTGAAACTATGGAAAGGGGCATGGTGCTAACTCGTTAAGGGTTAAAATCCAGGAACAGCAGCTAACTATTGTCATAATGTTAGGTTTTTGTCACTGCTGAAAATGACACCTCTAGTCTGCTGCTCCTGTTGCACTCACTAATATCACCATTTAGGACTCTGGAGGTCCAGAGACATTAAATATATAATCTGAGAAAAATGAAATCTTTTAATATTTTTGTGAACTGTCCTAGTGAAATTGCCAGAAGGAACAGCTCTTGTATCTGGACTTTATCAAACTCCTGTTATCTGGATCAGCCATAATCTTGTTTGGGTCAGGAGTTTTAATTGTGGCCATTTTGATGGATCTGAAAGCATCTTAGCCAGCTGAAGAATTTTCTTAATGAGATTTAGAACTAAACCCACATGTTCTGGAGTTGTTGGTTTTTTTTGTTTTTACTGTAAGAAAGGAGATACAAAATCTCACAAGGAAACAATAGTTTTTTTTGACTAATTTGAACAAAAGAGAACTCATTGCACTCCAAATCTTGCTCTAATCTGGATAATCTGGAAGTCGTGAAGCAAGAGGTAGCCTTAAGCAACAGCAATTTCTTTGTGTCTAAGTCCAGCTGAGACAAAGTAGAGGTCAGAGTAATGGCATCAGGTTTTATAGTAGATGCCTTCAGTTCCATTGAATGTATCTCAAGGCAAGAAATTAGTTCCCAGGGAAAAAGGCAACAGGAAATTTGACTCTCGTTCTAAGAGATCACCTTAAAACTCTGTGTTCTTAGGGACAGGTATGGAAAGTGTAAGGTTTTGTGCCTTCCAATCTGAGAGCTTGCAGAAAGTTGAATTAGCTGATATGAGATTTCATACACATTTTTACCTTGTTGAAAAATGTCACGATAGCCATTCTCTCCTTTAAAGTGGGAAAGAACTCTATTTTAAAAATAAGAAAATCAATGTACCTAACAGCTAATAATAAGAATGGTCATTGTGGTTGAGTGCATATTCTGGAGGTCGTTACTCTTGTTACTAAAGTATGCTCGAGTTTATGCTATTCTGTATTGAAGCCAAGGAATGAGTACTGCAAAACTGTAACTTAATGCATGAAATCTAAGACAGGTCTTCTCAAAGTGTTTGCTTTTAAATTGTCTTCAGAGCTTTACTAATTTTTGTATGGTATGTATGAGGACTACTCCAAAAGTAATCCCCCCTATTTTAATATGTTAGCACATGATGTCAGAGGCAGATATTGGTGGGATGGCAGTAGAGGTTGAACCTTCCCACCAGTAGTCTTTTACATGTTGTTGCCATGTGACAAATGGTAGCAGAGGGCCAATCTGACAAAATGGCATCTGACATGGAAGTGTGTATGAAGCAAAAATGTGGGATTGAATTCCTTTATTGGGGGGGGAGGGGAGGAGAGAGTACATATTGATACTTACTGATTGTTTAAGGAGCCCAAACACTGGATATGTGTACAGTGAGGCAGTGAGTGGAGCATTTCAGCAGTGGTGATAGCAAATGGGGGTCATCTCCTCTGGTGAAGACTTTTACAAGGATAGCATGCAGCTCTTGTCACTGGTGAAAATGCATAGCTAAGGGTGGTGACTATTCTGAGAGTGTTTTGTAGATGAGAACTTGCTCTATTATATAGTGTTGTGTAACTTTCCTCTCTGCTATTTGATTCTTATCCTCCAGTTGATCTCCTAACCTGGTAGTCCATTTTAAAATTTCCCCTATAATAAAATGCCTCTTGCTGATCTGTAGAATACTGGACTCTCCTTTCCCCCTTGCAAATGTGACCAGTGCTTCTGATAACTGTTAAATGTTGAGCTGTGGTGGTGTTTTCTCTTACTGAGAATATTTTATTCTTTACAGTTGATTAGCTGACTTGTTCAGCTTGTTCTGTGATGAGGGTACCTGCCCAAAGTTTCACTACATTGTACTCTAAGGATAACAATGAGTTAAATGATGGTTCTCTGAACAGACAAATTGCTACATGTCTAGATCTTTTGATATTTTTCAGGATTTTTGTGCGATCTTTATACTTTTAACTGCTGTTGAATTGCAACCTGTATTGTGATGCAACAAGTCAGATGTCTAGTTTTAGGGATTTGCTCTTTACCTCTGAAATGAGGTGGGAGTGAGGATGTAGAAAAAATGATAATCTTGTGATACTTTAAATTTCTCCTTAATTTCAGACTATAGATATTGTTAAAAGGGAATGAGCAATGTTTCAAGATGTCTTTTAGGAGAATCTTGTGTTCAAGTACTGGAGCGTATAGCATCTTATTTAGATAATATGCTGATAATGCTGATAGTGTATGTGGCTTCTAACATACTGTTTGTTCTAAAGCGTTCCCATAAGGTCTTTTACATTCAACACTGATTTCTGATTCTTTACTGTCTCTCCACCTTTTACCTTTCATCCTTTCATCTTTATTTTTCCCATTGCTTGGTGTATTAACCATTTACTTATGTATCTTGCAGATAGGCATCTTGTTCCCGTCTGCCTTGTGCAGGGGAAAGGGGTGGTAGCCAGCTGCCTTGGGAAGATAAGTTCTCATGGAGTGACTGGCTTTGCTTCCCTTGTTGTTGCATCCTGATAAACCTCCCTGTTCCTGTTAGCTTGGTAAAATGACTCACAGGCACTAAATACTTGCACAGCAAACATATTTCCAAAGCCATCTCGTGTATAAGAGCTGACTTTAAAGACTAGGGAATTTTATTCTCCAGTTTATGTACAGTCAATTTAAAAGGCTGCCAGTATGATTCAAGTGAGGTTTACATTCTGTAAGGGAGAGGCTGAAGCCCAAACCAAAGCCCATTAAGAACGTTGGAAATCTTTCCATTGCTTTTGTTGGGCACCAGACCTTGGCAACCATGAAAAGTATGAGGCAGAGGAATATTGAGTCCACAGGCTTTTTAGCCAGTCTCTTTTACATAATTACATGAAAATGTTCTCAGAGCAAGCAATTCTGCACACACATAAATCCAGTGACAGGAAACTGTTCATAAGGGTAGCCTATCCAGAGAGCAGATTTTTTAATAGCTCTATCTTTTGAAATCTGGAAGCCATTTGTAGAGAAGATCTCATAAGAATACACAAGAATGTCTTGAATGAGAAGAGTGCTGAATTTCTGTCCTAATTCTTATTTCTGTCTAGGTTTTATGTTTTCAGTTTCTCGTTGCCATTCCGTACTTCTGTGCATAGGTTAAAGTGCAGAACCACCTTAATTACCATTATTGATGGTATAATGTACCCTTTTTACTGTCTGCTGAAATCACAGCTGACAAAAATCTGTCTTTCTGTTGTTTTCTTTAGAGACCACCTTGCCAAACAACATAAAGATCCATACTGCAGAAATACTGCCTTTGCAAGCAGTGACAGCTCCTGCTGGTCAACCCCAAAGCTGCTTCATTTTCAAGGTGGGAAAGAGTGCATGCAGTGACATCTGGTTTCTGGTAAGTCAACTGGAGACAGAAGCTATCTTGAACATGCAGAATCACCCTGTTGGCCTTTTTTTTTTCTGGTTATATGTTTTGTAGTCACAGTTATGCTACAGAAGTCTGCTGGGAACAATAAAAGCACATGATCCTTGCAGGTGAAACAAAAATCATTTCCTTAGTGCTTGATCTAGATCAAGGTTAAGATCAGGTCAAAATGAAAGGTGATACATATTTTTGCCTCAATTCAAAGCAAAGTACAGAGACAATAATATGCAGTTCAAGTTCATGGGAAATGATGGCTACAGCAATGGTAATGCAGAAGCATGCCCAGCATGCACTTGCTAGCTGAAACTTGGTCGGATATAGAAGGCAGATGGATGCTCTAATCTTGAGATAAAGACTCCTTATGAGGAAGCTTGACATTTTTCTTTCCTTCTCAAAGCTTGTTTACTGTACTTCTTTTAGAGAATGTAAATTAGTTAAGTCTGAACATCGATGATGGTAGAGAGAGTGAAGGTAAGAAGTTGCAGGGAAAGGTAGATGCATTGAGGCAAGCTACAGCTTCACCTCATGGTGGATCACACGTACCTAAAGGAAGTTCTGAGAATTCCCACTTCCTCATGTAATTATTGCTATAAAAGGGGGGAGGGGGAGAAGGGGAAGCAAATAAAAATCACAAACCCACTGTGTCTTTATTCTAATCTGGGCAGATAGTTGAGCATTTTATTTTAGCTTTTCTAGAATAACTCACAGGTATCTTGTGAGATTGTAACTTCCTGGACAAGAGGTACCTTTGCACTTCTTTGATCACTCTTCCTTTATTTTTATTCTGTTACAGTCAAACTGTGGCTGTACAGTCTCTGGGAAGTAAAAAAAAAAAAAAAAAAAAAAAAAACCACAAAAAACATCCGTTAGGTTTTTTCTCATGCACAATCATATCTGACATGGACAATGTTGTAGTGACATGTTGTATACTTTGCAATTTAGATAGCATATATGATATGCTGTGTAGTTAAATGTTATTGTGTATTCTCAATTTGAGATTGACTCAACTCAAGCTTTACAGGGCTTGAGAAGATTGTACAATGCGAGTCATTACTGCCTAAATGTTGCAGAGTGTTATGGTGAGAAAGACAAGTGTCAAATAAACCCTTTAATCTAAGGACAGAATAATTCCCCATTTTAATCCTAAAACAAATGCAATTTGTGAAAAGTCAGACATAAAAGACTTGCATTTTGATAGACTCTATAAGCAGATATTGGAGTAAATGCAATCTTCTGAGAGACGCATGATGCCTGTGGATTAGAACAAATTCTGCTAGTAATTACTGGGGTAAGGCTCTGACAAATAAATGGTAGGTGTCGTGTTTGAGTTTTGTCTTCACCTCTGTGGATTGTGATTAGACCATCAGCGCTATATCAATAGTACCTTTTTGTTCTGATTAATACTATATCACTTCCATCCCCAAACCAGTTGTGCTCAAATAAACATAGCTTGAGTTTCAGAAAAAAAAACACCGCTCTTGCATTTCCATTTATCCTTCCTAGCATTAAATGCACTCCAGACATTTTTCTTTAATTAGCAGCATTTGAATTTGAGTGGCTGCATTTGTAATAAGAGTTTTAACAGGTACATGCTTATTTTGACATCTAGGAACATCTTCAATGAGTACCATGGTATTAAGGTTGAACTTGCATATGCTACTGGCTTTAACTTTGAAATTGCAAACAGTATTCCAGTAGAGATTGAAAGCTTGCATGTTAACAGCTTGTTGCAGATATCTCAAAGGTATTGCATAGCCTTTCTTTTCATAAGAAATATAGTGGCAGATGCTATTGCTAATAGTGCTAAAAAGCGTCAGTTTGTCTCTCTGTGGACTAAATTCAAGTTCCATTAAAATCAGTGGAAAGGTTTTGCCTGCCTGCCATGAAAGCAGAGCAGACCTTACATCTTTGAACTACATGAGCTGAAAATGCCTTTGGTGCACAAAACTTCTTAGTCTACAGTTCTGAAGACTGGTGCTGACAACAACTGGGATTGTTTTCATTTTCCCGTTAAAAATAACTCAGGAATGTGCACTTGCTAATTCAGAAAACATTCAGGTGTTTAGAAGTTTATTTTCTTGTAAGCTGCAAGAGACACAGAAAGAGTTTGTCATGTAGAAGTACAAAGCTACTGCACACAAGATCTCTTGCGGCATTAAGGCTAATAATATGAGTGGGCCTAATTCAAAAACTCTTTCTGTATTCCACTTTTTATTTTTCATATGAGAGGATTTCATGTTTTTCATCATGTGTTGATAATGTCTGACATCTTTTTTGCTTGCCTAGAAATTACTGAAGGAAATTCTTCTAATATCAGCTGCCTGCAACAGTCCATATCAAGGGCTGGCTTTGATTTAATTAAAAAAAAAAAAAGCTAATCATGCCATTAGTGCTGTGAATTTTAGTGGGGTTAACTTTCACATGGATGTCACATGCCTGCACGTGTGCCTGCAGCAATGCAAGCCCAGAACATGGAATGTCTGGGAACAGTTTGAGAGGTGGGATTGTAACCAAGTGCATGGCTGCTAAATTCATCTGCTGTAGATTTATAGACACCTGACTTTTAGTTCATGGCTTGGTTCCTATGTGCCATTTACCTTGCTGTGTTGTAGGTCCCATGTAATTCTGTCATTATTAGGTAAGTGGTCTGGAGTACCTGTGATGCTTGAAAACTGGGAAAGGTAGCATTTGCTTTTTATTTAAATGCTGCTTTGTATTGTTCTTTGTGACTCTGAGGCTTGCTGAGTAGATTGTTCCAGCAAAAAACAAGCAAACAAATTTTCTTTCTCTCTTCCATTTGCTGATATTGAGTCCATCACTCTACCGTAGCAGTAAAATATCCCAACAGTGGTTTTACCTTACACTTGCTATTCAATGAGCTCAAGAAGTGCTGCTGTAGATGGCTGTCAGCAGTGTCCAGAGGTTATAAAAACGCTATCCTGGTGAGCAGGCAACCTGCATTCAAGGCTCTCCCCAGTCAAGGCCTTTGGAGGTTGCTGTGCTGTGGAGGGTTGCATGGTAGGAGAGCAGGGCTGCTTTCCTTCTATCAGAACAGTATTCTGCCTTTTTAGGGCTTTTCTCCTTGGCTGCTCCTTTCACCAACTGTGAAATGAAGAGCAACCAGTACTGGATGAGTTACTGCCAGTTCTTTTTTCAGATGGATTGAGTGAATAGCTTTGTGAACTGATTGAAGCTCAGCATCAGTCTCCTTGGTCCTCCTCCTGTCTGTTGGGGCTGATGGTTGACAGCTTTGTGAGAGAAATAGCCAGGTATTGTGATATACAAAAGGTTTTGAAAATTGGGAGATGATTCTAGCATCTCTTCTTCATGCAGTGACTTCTCTTTACGCTGTGAAGAAATGCAATGGATGGCTTTCTGATCTATTTATAAAATTAGACTTCATTTATTTAGCTTTATTGCTAGGAAAGTGAAGATATGCATATATCCACATACATATATATTCAGAAGCAAGTAGTTCATGAGTACCAAAGGCAGTTTTTTAAACAGTTCTAGAATTGCAAGCCATGTTAATGCTTTCTAATATGTGTGCATGTAGTTAACTTTTCTGCTGACGTTTTTTCTCCAGAGGAAATAAACACATTTTACCAGTTTGCCCATAGCATTCACTCCCTGGCTTTAATTTCATAATGTTGGAGAAGGAAGGCATGTAAGGATTTGCTTGATAAACAGAAATGTTTCTCTTTATCTAGCTTATTATGAGGTGGTCATCAAAAGTAAGTTAGGAATGAAAAGAAATAAAATCAATGACAATCAAGCAAATGTTCTAATACATGCTTAGCATTTTACTAAATGGCATTGGTGTTAGCTTTCAGCAAAATGTAATTTCATTCTGGACTTAAAATACCAAAAATTGCTGCATTAATGTTGTTACACTAATTCAGATTGCTTCTCTGTAGAGCAGGTACTAACCCAATGGAGGTGTATGGGTAGTCATTTGCAGTTGAAATATGAGTTGTCCCATCAACTTTGAGACTTAGATGGTAAATGTGAATTTTATTTACTTTGCAAATGATTTATAACCACAGCCCTGTAACTATAGACTAGGGGTTTAAGATCTGTCCCCAAACTCAGGAGATGGGACACTATTCTTGACAGATGAAAAACTTAATATGAGCCAGCAGTGTGGCCTTGCAGCTCAGAAGGCAAGTGGTATCCTGGGCTCCATCAAAAGAGGGGTGGCCAGCAGGGACAGGGAGGTGATTGTTCTCCTCTACTCTGCTCTTGTGAGGCCCCATCTGGAATACCGCATCCAAATGTGAAGCCCCCAGTACAAAAAAGACAGGGAGCTGTTGGAGAGGGTCACAAGGAGGGCCACAAAGATGATCAGGGGACTGGAGCACCTCCCCTATGAGGACAGGCTGAGGGAGCTGAGCTTGTTCAGCCTGGAGAAAAGAAGGCTGCAGGGTGAACTCATTGCAGCATTTCAGTACCTAAAGGGAGCCTACAGAGGGGAGGGGAATCAACTCTTTGAGAGGGTAGATAACTGCAGGATGAGGGGAAATGGTTTTAAGTTGAGGGAGAGGAGATTCAGGTTGGACATCAGGGGGAGAAATTCTTTCACAGAGAGAATGGTGAGGTACTGGAACAGGCTGCCCAGAGAGGTTGTGGATGCCCCATTCCTGGAGGTGTTCAAGGCCAGATTGGATGGGGCCCTGGGCAGCCTGGTCTAGCTAGCATTAAATGAGGAGGTTGGTGGCCCTGCGTGTGGCAGGGGGGTTGGAGGTTCATGAGGTCCCTTCCAATCCTAGTCATTCTGTGATCTTTGCTGGCCTTTGGGTGATCTGATGCAATCTGTTTTCTCTGGTTTCTTTTTAAGGGTTTTTTTTTTTTTAACATAACATCAAGATGTTATAGTGCTGGCTTTCTTTTAAAATTGTTAAAGCAAAATAGAAGGTATTGCTTGTAAAAGCCCAGAAAGCTAGTTGCAAATCATAATTGGTCTCATTGATAAAGGTTGTTATCATAAAAGTCTTTCTGACAACATGTATGTGTAGTTGAAACTGTCTTTAAATGCTCTAAAAGCCTGTGTAGGTACTTTGAGGCAATAATATAAGTAAAGATACAACAGAGGAAACCCTCTCCAAACAACCGAGAGGCATAACAAGCAATTTTTATAAGTTTAAATCAAGATGAATTGTTTAAAACTGGTATGCTTATGCCAAGTTTCTCTGGCAACAAGAAGAAAAAGTGCTGTATCATTAATACTCGCTTTGCTCTTTAACTACACAGGTCTGTCTTTCTGGATTGGTGGAGGTAAGGAACTTCTTTAGAACTTTTTGTTGAAGGGGAAAGAGCTGACTCATATTATTCCTTTGTAGAAAATTCACATAAGATGGGTGTTATAAATGGGTGGTATATAGTTGTAGCCCTTTAGGGTTTAGGGCAAGAACATATTAAGCATTATAGAAGAAAGCAAACTCTGTTATCAAATATTAGCTGTCCAGTCTCTTAATAGCCTTGGGGTTTGAGAGCCAGAATTTACAGTTTTCATGATCATGGCAAAAATATCCAAATAATTGAATGGCGAATAAAATGCTTAGTCTGGAATACAATCTAAAAGCCAGTAGTTGCAGAATGAAAACCTTTACAGAGCTCAGAGGAAGATGGAAGAAAATTAAAGATGTTGAAACTTATTACAGATTCTGCCTTAAATGATCTGTGAATTCTGTTTATGAATCTGGAACGGTATTTACTTTGAGACACACAAATCAAACAAAACACGATAGTATGTTTTCCTTAGCAGTTGAATACAAAATGAAAAGAAAGTGGATAACATCCCACATTTTCATTTCTGATAAAGTTTCTCATTCTAAGAATCTTTTGTACTGGCACTCTTTAATAATGGAACCACTTTTGTTTCTGGAATAAAATGTGAGGCTTAAGCAATAGGCATCTGTCTGCAAATTTATTTTTACCTTTCAGTGCAGTTACTTTTTAATGAGACTATAGCAGCTGATTAATCGTGGCTTCTGCATCTATAATTTATGTAGGATATATCTGCAAACAGACTGCCCATCAAACTGAACTCATAAGGAAGTCTTTCTATTTACAGTAATAGAAGATAGCATTTATGGATTCCTCCCAGCTCCAAGATTGTGTCACAGAGCTGAGACTGTTGTAGTGAGAATTTGCAACATCCATTAGAACTAATGAATTAGTACTGTATATCTTGTAATCACCATTATGTAAACATTAGTAGTACAGAATAATATCTTTTTCAGCCTACTATTGACAGATTTGTTATTAATTATCTCAGTGAAAAAGTTCTTATTTACCAATACAGTTTGTAACTTAAAATGTCTGTCAAGTTGAGAATTCTACATCATACCTGTCTATAGTGAAATCCTGATATATGAAATTTCTGAATTAGTCTCTTTAGTAGTCTAATGTGTTCTCTGTAGTAGTCATGTATTTGTAGCATGCTTGACAAGAAGGAGCTGTCATCATCTTATCAGCAAATACTGCATTTAGATTCAGTTTTCAGATAAGTTGAAGTATAAATATAGTTTCTTATGTGAAAACATTGGCAGCAAACGTAGTTGTTATGGTGGTTTTCCACTGCCAAAATATATTAGAACATGCAAGAAAATAATTCACTGTATGTGTCTTTTGTTAAATCTTATGTTTTACAGGATTTTCCTGTGCCACATAAATTGTAAACCATATTGTATTTCATTTTGGCTTTTTTGATGACTGCTTGAGGCTGTATTAATGATGCAAGCAGTTATATCTTGGTGATGTCCTCTCCTAGGAAAGGAGGTATCCACAGCAAGGAGGGGTCATACTGCACAAGAGGCTCTTCTCTATTCAAGTTGACTAGTAGAAAGAGTTTAGCACATTGCAGCATTAAGATGCAAGGCATCTTTTGATCAGTTCTTGCATTTTATTAATCCAATTAAATGTTGAGCTCTCCAAGAACAAAAGCTATTTGACATAAGATGGTTTACTTGGGCTTGACAAAAGAAAACAAATATGCAAACAGCAATCTATAATGATAATTTGACTCATGGCATATGCTTTTTGGTTCAGTGAGTTTCCTGTATTGATTTTTGAGCTTGAGCATTAATGAATTCCATTTTCAAGCAACGTGCACCCTTTGGGATGTGCAAGCTTTCTGAGTATTATTGAATTAAGGCTGTGGGATGCTCACATGACGTATTTTTTTCTTTGGCTGCTGATGGGGGATCCAGCTGAGTTTTTGTTCTGTTACACTGTTTCTGCTTCATGGTTGCTGTCTCTTCTGATTTTTCTTTTGGAACGTAAGCTAACAGCTTGATAATTTTAATTAAAACATTTGATAAATATTCATACTAATTTGTCTATGATTTGCAACGTTTTTTTCACTAGAGATCAGCCTCTGCACTGGGTATTCTCACATGTAGGTTGAACTAGCAGTTCTATTTTTCAATGTGCTTGCAACCATAGTTTCCTGGGTTTTATTTTAATCATCTATGCAATATTCTTTTACAGCTTTCAGTTCTTTTGCATAATTCAGTCAGTTCTCTTGAGTTAGCTCTCATCTGCATCAACAGAACACAGCCATGTGGGCTCTCTGACCAGTGGGAATTATTTCCTCTAAAGAATACTTCATAAATCTCATAGAATGACTAAGGTTGGAAGGGACCTTGAGGCTTATCCAATTGCTGCTCCCTTGCCATGGGCAGATACTTCCCCCCAGCTCAGGCTGTCCAGGGCCCCATGCAGCCTAACTTTGGACACCTCCAGAGATAGGGCACCCACAGCTTCTCTGGGCAGTCTGTGCCAAGGCCTCACCAGGTCTCCCTGGAGCCTTTTCCATACTGAATAAGTCCAGCTTCCTTGGCCCTTCTTCATAGCATCCCTTGACTTGTTTCTTCTGTCTACCAGTCTTTGATTAGTATGACGTACAAAAATACAGTATTCTTCTGCTAGCATTTTCATGCTTTGTGATCAGCAGAGGTTGTGGAAATGTGATTCTGATGTACAGATTATCGGAAAGAAAAGAAAAACTAATTCCAATTTGTCCTTACCAGACAAATTTACAGGCACAAACCAGTATTTGAATAATATTACCAGAAACATGACCTACATTGATACTGTCAGAATCCATATATAAATAAATTTAGCTAAGCTCCACAATTATAGAATGCATACAACACCACTCTGTGATATGAATGTCTGTTTTTAAATTGCTTATAGAAACTGATGTACAAGTCAGCCACTTGCTGTGATTTGAAAAACAAAAGCTGACCATTTTGCAAAGGAGATTTGCAGCTACAAAAGTGTTTATTCTGTGTAGGGTCATGATTGAGTACTTGCTAATTTTTTTTTTTTGAGAATTATGTAGCAGTGGAAGACAAAGAAATAGGCGAAAATTAGTGTGGCACTGAAAGAAATCACTTTGTGGAGAGAGAAGATGCCGCTGCTAAATTCCAAAGTTAGCTACTTTGAGGAGAATGATGTGGAGATTTCATTGTTTTCTGTGTTCTTAGATTTGGAGTTGTCAGTGGAGATACTGGACTGCTAAACATACACCCTGATTTGTCACAGGACATTGGAAATTAGGTACATAGCTGTGAACAGAATAACTGAATTAATTCTCTGAGCTGGCACAAAGTCTCGCCCTAAGTCTTGTTTCTTGGTATTCCAAGTTGCTGCTTCCTCACTTGCAGCAGTGCCTGCTTCAGGACCTGTATATGAATACTTGAAGTGGAAGGGGTTGACAACTTCCTCTTTGCAGCTTCAGTGTCTCAATGTACGATGCTTTCTGAGGACTGAAAGAGGTGGTTGCAAGAGTTAGCATTATCCACGATATAAAAAGAATGTTAAGATACTTAAATGCAACCAGAAGGCAGTAAAGCTGGTAACAGGGCTGAAAGGTGTGTCTTATGAGGAGAGGCTGGGGGCACTTGGGCTGCCTGTTCTGAAAAAGAAGGGGGCAAAAGGTGACCTCACTCCTCTCAACAAGACCTTGAGGAGGGGAAGCAGAAGGAGGTGCTAGACTCTGCTCCTGAAAATCCATGGTGGGATGGGAATAATGCAAATCTTCACTGGGGATGTTCAGACTAGACATTAGGAAATAGTTTTCTACCACGAGAGTGGTCAAACACTGCAACAGGCTTCCTAGTGAGGTGGTTGATGCTCAGTGCCTGTCAGTGTTCAAAAGGAAGCTGTCATCTTATCAATAATGTTTTAACTTCTTGTTAGCCCTGAAGTGATTAGGCAGTTGGACTTGATCTTTGTAGGTCATTCCCAGATGAATGATTCTAGCCTTGCCTAGTCTTTTTCAGCTGGTGCAGCAATTCATTGGAGCATGGTCAGCCACTAGTGTGGGCTAATCTGAGTTCACTGTTGACCTATGCTTACTATATTCATTGTAAAATAAGCCATTTCATCTGCTCAGCTTCAATGCAGCTTGGAGAGAGAGGCTCCAAGTTTCCCCATCCTTTAAGCCTACATACTTTTTCACAGCTTGCCGTGAAAACATGGGGCCTGACTAGTAAAGAACTGAAAACTGAGCTCCTCCAGAAGTCCTCTCAAACTTCTGCTACTCTTGTACTCTTGCCAGGTACAAATGACACTTTCATCCAGGTCTGCTGGGTGTGTATAAGTACATACCCCTGCCTCCATGAGTTCTGTTTTTATTCACAAGCTATGTATTGGGAAAAGTCAAGTCTGTTTGCCAGATAATTCCTATGAAAGATTTGTTTTACTCTTTCCTGTATAAATAGTCTCAAAGTACCAAGGTGGACTCCTTCCACAGGTGATCAATATTCTAAACACGCTGCTTGTTTTAAATGCATTTAATGATCAAACACCCACCGATAAGTGAAACCTTAAAAATAAAGAACTTGCTAAAGCAGAAGCAAGAATAAACAGTCTCAGATCATCAGATTCCCATTTACTTATTTTTTTAACTTATCTTTTCTGTTGTTTATGATGATTAATGACAAACAAATCATCCTCATTATCAGCTTCCTTGTCTCTCTGACAACACTTGGAAATAGATTCCAAAACATGTTCTCTAAGTAACAAATGCTTGTTTATTTTTATGAATGTAAATCTATCAGCTTTTCAGCTAGAAAACCAAACTCATCTATCGTTTGTGAATTGTAAGGTATTGAATTATGAGCCAGGGCCTAATTTGCAGACCCAAACATCTAAACTAAGCAGCCAGCTGGGCCCGGGGATGCCAGTACAGTCGGTGCCCACAAGTTAGTAAGAGAGCTCATTTAACTGTCTGTCTTTGAAAACTGAGCTCCTTCATTTCTAATTTAGTTTGGCACCTTTGAAAAAGACATCCTGGGTCTTTTTACAACTGGAAAATAGGTTTGCATGCTTGGAATTCATATAGACAGCATATGTTGCTTCAATTGTTAAGTCAAAAGCATTGCAACACTTTGTCAATAATGCTGCATAATATCAATGATTAATTGGAGGTATCTTTTGTTGTAAAAAAAAAAAAAAGTAACTACTGTCCCATACATGTATGCTTTCTAATGCAAGCTCTTATAGTGTTAAATTACAGCTGTTGAGGTATAAGCTGAATTCAAATCAAATTACTGAATAGAAATGTTCTCAAAGAGATAACATTTGAATTTGCTAAGCAGTTGAGTTTTTGGAAGAATTAGACATTTATTCTGGTTTTACTTTTTTTTTGTGGAGAGCATAATCTGCTGTACAAGTATGCACCTCTTAGAGATAATTTATAATTAATATAATTGCTTAATGGGACATTTCCCTTGACCATAGCCTGCCATGCTGCCCAGACATCTTACACTTCATTACATTTTTGAAAGGCCACTGGCATTTCTCAGACGGGAGAGTGAAAATGTTTCCAACAAACAGATCATCCTGCATCACTAAAGCAGGTCAGTAAGTTGATCATGAAATCCCAAATATCATATCCTGTATATGTGTGGATTGCTAACGTATTTTCTAGTTGCCCAGTTCAAAATGGCTGTTCAGAAGCTATACCTTTACTGATATGAACTCCAAGCGTTGTTTTTAATTTATGATGAATTGTGAACAGTCCAGTGGCCATTCTTAGAATGCTGAGGGATCACTAAATAATACGCACAATCTATTGTTATTATGTAAGCTGTATTTTCTACTGATTCTGGGATGATATCACTTTCAAATACAGAAGAAGCTAATTGACTTGGCAAGTGAGTGGTATCTCGTCAATAGAAATTGAGTCGAGTTGTTTTCATAAAATAATCACATCTCAGTTTCTCACCTTTTCCTTGTTTTGCAAAACTGCAATCAAATGACTCCAAGAGTTTTACAAAGCTTTTTTTCAACAAGTAAATTATTTATGACTTTAAGATTACACAGAACTCTCTGCAAATCACATGGATTTCAGTAACCATTTAATCTCAGAAGAAGGGAAAACATACACAGGGATAAAAAATTACCAGGAAATGTATATGCATACATATAAGTATATATTTTTAAATACATAGAGAGATTAAAAAAAATAAGTATTTTTCATTATGGGAATTTGAGACAAATTTTATTTTTGACCACATAAAAATTACAAAACAAAGCAATATGTATTGTTTCATTTAACTCAAAATACCTGGTGGGAGGGAGAGAATGGAAGTACCAGGAAGAGAGAGTTATTTCTGTTGAGAAAAGCATTTGCATTGCTATTTGAGCAGAAGGTGTGGTTTGATTTGCTAATTCAACAAACTGGAAAATCAATTATTAACATATCTCTAACTTGTTTACCTAAATAGAAGGTATTCTTAGCAATTCCAAGCTGAATATGAAATGACTTGTAGTAGTAATAGGAAAAAAGTCTTGATGGCATTTATTCGTTGGTTTTGATTAGACTTAAGATTGGCTAGGTTTGTGCCTTTATACTTAACAACAATCTTTTGAAGTTCTGCTTCTGTCTCTGAGATGGGGAGAGGCAAAGAAATCTGTATTGCTATGGTATTGTTTCTTATACGTATATCAGGAAATGATTATATCAGAGACTGAAATGATATCCATTCTTACTTCTCAGAAGTTATTATGCATTATTTACAACTTTTCCTGTAAGTCCTCTTCCTTTTTCAGTATAGAATGTGTTAGATCAAAAAATAAAGAACAGTTTAATTCAGTGTCTTTTTTATGTAATAAGCAAATTTTGCTCTTAATTGTGGGTAAGTAAAACTTGAAAGCTGTGGAATGCACAACTTTTGATTCTTGAAGCAATGACCGTGTGCAAGGCAAAACCAAGATTGATATTTATTTTTAGGAAACTTGCTACTGAGAGCATCAATGCAACTGAGGTTG